AAGGTTCCTTGGGAACCACGCGCACCGGTGCCTTGGGTTTCTCCGCGACAGGCTGAGACACAATCTTGGCAGACGGGACAGGCTTAGATGCAATCTTAGCAGTCGGGCGGAGTTTCGGCGCCGGTGGCGGCGGTGGTGGCTGCTTGGCTGTTCCAAATAAGCGTCCGTAGCTAGGAACAACGCTGGCAGCAGGTGGGATCAAAGGCGATTTCACCAAAGGAGGCGACTGAGGTGGTGTCTTGGGCTGTGGCACCGAAGAAGACGCACCAGCAGGTTCCTCGACCTCCACTATGACACAATCGTCGTCGTCCAAATTATCTGGCGTCCAACCAGGCCTTGAATAAAGTGGACGTGACGATTTGTCGCTATGGAGCAAATAGATTTGGTCCTCACTCAAGTCTGGTTCCACCTGCAATCTGTACCTAATATAGGCCTTCCTTTTACGCTGAGCAGCGCGACCAGCACGTATGCCCCGAGACCTTGCAACAGGAGGATTCGACTCTTCAGTCGGCCCCTGCTGCGAAGGTTCTGGAGGCACGTCCGACATGCAACGCGCAAATCAAACCCAGTAGAAGACCCAGAAGAACAAGAGCTTACGGCTGATAACCAGTTATTCCGACTCCAAACACAGAAAACACTATGTTGGATGAGGAACAAGGGGAAGGGAAGGGAAACCCCAAAAGGAAACCCGACCCTGAACGCAAGAGGCTCAACTCAGTTCGAAAGCCTCTTTTCATTGCTTGAGCCAAAGGTCATGGCAAGTTGCACTGTCAGATAACTCTACATCGAGGATCATCGTTATTTTACAACTAAGGAAACACGAATTTTAACAAGTGCAAAGGTCGTTTTCCTCAGTGATGTAATGTAAGCTTCTTACACCATGAGTAAACCATTAGGCAGCCGATGCCCCTAAAGCTTCAAAAACCCAAGACCTTACTTAAGCCAGAAAGCCATGAACCCTACACAACGCCAAGCCAAACCGACTTCAAAAAGTGACCTTGCGAACGCCGCCCTCGGCTCTAAACTTTGGAACTTCCGAAACCCCAAACCTCGACAAGCCGAAGCCTAGACCCTAAACCATGGAAAACCATAAACCCTTTAGAATCCTAAGTCCTTGAGCCGGTAACGAACTAAACCCTAAACCCAAAAGCCTTAAACCCTAAAACACCCGAACCCTGAACCTGGCCAACAACCCGTCAAGCCCCAACCGTAAAAGCGCAAACACACGCGACTACGCGTGGTTTTCTGAAACTACTAAGATGTGGTTGAGATATGGTTGCTATATTGTATAGAAACGCGGGCCACTTGATTTTGTTTTCTGGATTGTACACCCTATAGAGCCCGGAACCCTAAATCTTTGCAAGCCCTGTACCCTGAGCCGCCAAACCAGGAACTTCAAGGAACCTTGAGCTCTGAACCCCGGAACACTCGAATTCTCAAACCATAACGGCTGCAAAACCCTACACTACGCGCAAAGCCGGAAAACCAGGAACTCTAAAGAACCTCAACCTTAACCCTTAGGCCCTGAAGCCTGAAGAATCCCGAATGATGAACCGTACAACCCAACAAGCCCTCAACCGTAAGACCCAGTTCCTGAACGGTACTGTTTCGGCTGATGCTGAACGGCAGAGGGTGTTCAAATCATCCCCGGCCTCCAGCTGCGTGTGCAGCTGATGGTTTTGTCGCCGACGCGGCCAGGGCTGCCAAGAAGTCTATGGGACCGTCTGGAAGACTTTGACGCGTTCTAACTCTGCCTGCAAGCTCCGGGTGCAGACCTCTGTGCAGAGGGTTTATTGCTCCTGGCACTCAGCGACCAGCGATTTTTATTCAGCTGGCAACGTTTGGGAGACCTGGCCTAGGGCCGCATTCAGCCGCATGTCGGCTGCTAGGTCAGGCGCAGGGCCTCAAATTTGAGCCCCCGAGTGCTTCGATCAGAGATGTGCGTGAAACGAGCCATGGTGAGTCCTCTGCCCAAGCCGTATGGATTGCCGTTCGGTGGCACCTAGGCCAGTCACAGTCACCGTGGGTGCTTGAACTTCTGATCCCCACGTTGTCCGAGCTATGGCACACTGTACGGCGCCCTCGCCAGACCAGGTCTGATGCCTTTCAGCTGCGTTGCTGTCGGCAGGGCCACTGACAGAGCGAAAACAACTCCCAGTGCCTGGTGTCGAAGGAGCTGCCTTGAAAGGACAAGCTGTAGGGCGAAAGCAATTCTGCAGCATACCCGCATGACAAGATGACACAAAGCAGCCTGGGCACAGCAGGGCACAGGAGAGCAAGCAGATTGCAAAAGCAAGGTTCGGCATCAAACTTCATGAAGGGGCACTGGGAAGTGACAAAAATTCGCGAAATGCTGAATCAAGCAGCCTGACGCAAATCGCCATCAACATGTCAGCGCATACGCAGCGCTTTCTACTCAGCCCCGCACACCCCCGCTCTGACTCACACCTTGTCCAGGCCTGGTACAGGATGCATCAGGAAAGAACTGGACATGACAAGCTCCCTTCTTTATCTTCCCCAGCAATGTGGCTGTCCCCAGCCAACATCGCACGGAGCATCTGCACAGCGGACGTCCAGCTTGCCATTGAGCCCGGCGCGCAATGTTTATCCGAGTGTGCGGAAGCATGGACTGAAGAAGCCTCAAATGATTTCGTACTACGCGTGATTGTCAAAGGAGCCTATGCAAGCAAGGCACTCCAGTCCATCCTCCCTGCCGCCAAGCATGGCCTTCCGATGGGCTTCATATTACTGAGCTGGCTCAGCTGGCTGAGCTGCGCATGCGATGCTTGCCTTGTCCATGGGCCCAGCTCGATCTCCAGCATCGCCACCACGACGCTGCAGAGACAGAGAGTGGCTTGGATTCGACCATGCAAACTACATGGATGCGGTGGCCACGCAGGCATGTGCACCACGAACGCCTGTGCCGTCTTTTGCAGGACTGTGCAGACGGTGAAACACTGGCAGGAGACATGTTGGCTTCCGATAATCATCGGTGCAGCTTGAAACATCTTGAAACCGAGCACACACACACACACACACACACACACTCCTCTGAAAGCTAAATGACACACGTCACGAGGATCACGTCTTGGTATTTAGGAGCACTGCGGCACCGACGGGCCGAAGCCTTAGAAATGAGACCTGCATCGTAACCGGTGGTGCTTCATCTTTGCCAGACTTTTTGCCTGGATCGAAGCAGCCTGTGTCCGAATTTAACAACTGAAACTATCGACGCTTCTGCGCCAGTTGGCAGTGGGTCAGAAAGCAGAATGTCACAACCTCGGACGTCATAAAGACCGAGCCTCCAATATAGTCATGGCTGATCATGGCTGCATGCACAATAAGCTTGACGCTGGGGACCAAGTCCTGGACACTTCATTTACGGTATTGTCTCGTCTTCTCGTGCCTGCAATTGCACAAGTCGTGTGCGCGTGATTGCACGTGAGCAGTGCAGCAAGTGTTGCCATCCCGTTTTGAAGAAGTCCTCTTACAATTAGTGCTCAAGCCCCTCGCCCACGAGAGTTTTTTTGCTGGGAGGTTGTTTCCGCCCGCCGCAAAGAATACTTGAAGGAGGTCATTCAGCCGTTTTCGCTGAAGCCCCGGAAACACCTGAGACAGATGATCACCTGGTGATTTTCCCTTACAGAAATTCCCCACAGCGGTTCCAACAAACACATCGGTGATGGGCAGCGATTCCGTCGCCCTCAATCGCTGGCCGGTTTTGGAAAGGGGCAATGTCTCGGAACCAATGCAGCACAAAGTCACCCAGCTTTGCCGCAAAAAGCTCGCCGGAACGGGCAAACGTGTGAAACCCCAGAATGAAGAGGACAGCCGTGTCACGCCACTGCATCTCAAAGGCCAACTGTGCCATCGCATAGACCATGGAGACGGTAAAAGGGGAGGTAATTCAGAACGTCCCCATGCCGCATGGAGCCTCCAGCTCGAAATTAGATGAAGTTTGACCGACGGGATAAAGTGGACAAGCCCACTCAAGGTATCATTCCTCACGGCTTAAAGTAAGGGAGCGGGAGGTGGGCGGGGCGCGATAATATTTCATTGTATTTTCTTCGGAAAAACCCACTGAAAAAGCGATTTCGTGTGGCTGTTGCAGGGCAGGGCAGGGCAGGGCA